AGTGAAAGTAATTTAGTAATTAGTCCTGAAATCTGTGTTTGCCTTCACCAGGGCCTGAGTCATTACCACTCTGGGGCCATCTATAAAAATATATATACATATATAAAAATATATATACAGTCAAGGTTTGAAAACTCATGGATGACCCAGCCAATTAAAAACAGGCTATAATTCAACATGAGCTGTTCATTTGAAGTCAGTGTCTACCCTGATGGAGTTGGGCTCCCAATTTTTTTGCATGGAGGGTCTACTGTCCTAATCTTCAGAGCTCATTTGGGGGATTAACAATTGCCCTTGGATAAAATGCGGTTTCCTGGTATGCTCCCCACCCCAGAGGTGCCTCTTTGGGGAGCAAAGGCAGATGGTGAGCTCAGTTGGGAGTAGGGGGCAAAAGGCGGCTGGGATGTGAGAGGCGTATTATGGTAAACAGGGAGTAATGCATTTTCAACAGGGGTGCTGTCGACTGTAATGCACAGCAAGCAGGGGATACAAAAGATAAGGGGAAGATGAGTTTACCCCTGTGACTGGTAGCTGAGGATAATGAGGCCTCCTTCACGACATCTACGCCTGCACACAAAGGGGACTCTCCAGAGAGGCCTTCCCTGGACACTAGGAGAATAAACCCAGAGCCTCACCCCCTCCCCCTATTACTCTTCTTTATGCCCTTAGCACCAATCAGGCCCCCCTCCGCGTCTAAGGAGCTGTTTATGTCTGCCTCCTTCAGGAGAATATAGGCTCTACCAAGGCAGGGCGTCACCCTGCACACTGCCAGGCCCCAGTGCCTTTGCACAGAGCCCGACGCCAAAGGCTTTCTCAACACATCTCTGGTGAACACGTGCGTACATGAACTAATGTGAGAACCGATGATTCCACTGAAGGAGACACAGGTCAGGAGGGGAGGCAGACTGCAAGGGGAAGTGTCAGGAGTCTGGTTTACACACTGAGTGTTGCCCAAGGGACACAGCCCATCAACGGGAGGGAAGGAAGGAGGGTCAGAAACAGGAAAGGAGCCATCCAACTAAAGCTGATAAAGGCACACCTTGGTTTTCTTCTTACAACACTCGGGCCACGAATGGACATTCACAGCAGATGATGATTGCAACCACACCTCAATGTCTTAGAGCCAGAGTAGATACTAGGTGTCTTTTTATTTTAATTAACCACTTTTTTTTTAGAGTAGTTTTAGATTCATAGCAAAAAAATGAAGGGAGAGCAGAGGATAGCCATTCACCCCCTGCCCTACCCCACGCAGAGCCTCTCCATCAACATCACCCACCAGAGGGCACATTTTTTTACAAATGCATAAATCTTCACTGACATGTCATAATCACCCAGAGTCCACAGTTTACACTAGAATTTATTCATGAGGTTGTAAATTCTATGCCTTTAGATAGATGTGCAACCACAGGTTTCCACCATTATAGTGTCCTACAGAGTAATTTCACTGCCCTAAAAATCCTCTGTGCTCTGCTTGTTCATCCCTCCCTCACCCCAGCCCCTGGCAACCACTGATCTCTGTAGTGTCTCCATGGTTTGGGCTTTTCCAGAATGTCATACAGCTGTAATCATACAGTTAATAGCCCTTAACAATATGCATTTAACTTCCCTCCACATTTTTTACAACTTGAGGGCTCATTTCTTCCAGGACTGAGTAACCCATGGTTTGGATGCACCCATTCGCCTCTTCACCTATGGAGGAACAGCTTGGTTTCTTCCAAGCTTTGACTATTATCTTTAAAGCCTTATAAACATCTATGTGCAGGTGTTCATGTGGACATAAGCTTTTAACAACTTTGGGTAATACCAAGGAGCGTGCTTGCTGGATCGTACGTAACAATAGTTAGAATGAGTTAGTTTTGTGAGAAATGCTCCAAACCAGCCAAAGTGGCTGTACCATTTTTGCATTTCCAACCAACAGTGACTGGGAGTTCTTCTCGCTCCACATCCTCACCAGCATCTGGGGTTGTCAGTGTTCTGGATCTTGCCTATTCCAATAGATGTGCAGTGGTGTCATTGTTTTAACTCCCATTTCTCTTGTGAGACATATGATGTGGAATATCTTTTCATCCGCTTATCTGACATCTGTATATCTTCGTTGGTGAAGTGTCTGTTAAAGCCGTTGGTCCATTTTTAAATTAGTTGTTTGTTTTCTTCTTGTTGAGTTTTAAGAGTTCTTTGTGCATTTTGGCTAACAGATCCCTACCAGATGTATCTTTTGCAAGTATTTTCTCCTGGACTATGGCTTGTCTTCTCATTCTCTTGACACTTTGAAGAGCAGACATTTTTAACTTTATTTTTATTTATTTTTTAATTTTTTTCCCATTTTTAACTTTAAATGAAGCCCAGCTCATCAATGATTTCTTTCAGGACCACGCCTTTCATGCTGTATTTAAAAAGTCATCACTACACCCAGCGTCATGTAGGTTATCTTCTAGGGGTTTTATAGTTTTGCATTTTACATTTATGTCTGGGATCAGTTCTGACTCAATTTTGGTAAAAGGTATAAGGTCTGTTTCTAGATTCATTTTTCGCATGTGGATGTTCTAGTCTTCCAAGACCATCTGTTGAAAAGGCTGTCTTTGTTCAATTGTATTGCCTTTGCTCCCTGTCAAAGATCAGTTAACTAGAGCTATGTGGGTCTATTACTGAGCTTTTTATTCTGTTCCATTGATCTGTTTGTCTATTCTTTTTTTTTAATATTTTATTTATTTATTCATGAGAAAGACAGAGAGAGAGAGGCAGAGACACGGGCAGAGAGAGAAGCAGGCTCCATGCAGGGAGCCCGACGTGGGACTCGATCCCGGGTCTCCAGGATCACGCCTTGGGCTGAAGGCAGCACTAAACCACTGAACCACCCAGGCTGCCCCTGCTTGTCTATTCTGACACCAATACCATGCTGTCTTAATCACTATAATTTTATATTTAAGTTTTCAAGTTGGGTAATCCTAGTCTGGTAACTTCGTTCTCCTCTAATACTGTGCTGGCGATTCTGGGTCTTCCTCCTCTCCATATAAACTTTAGAATCAGTTTGTCAAGATCCACAAAATAACTTGTTGGGATTTTGATCGGGATGGCATTGAAACTACAGACCAAGTTGGGAAGAACTAGCATCTTGATAACATTGAATCTTCCTATCCATGAACGTGGAATATCTCTCCCATTTATTTAGTGTTTCTTTGATTTTGTTCAACGGCACTTTGTAGTTTTCCTCATATAGATCTTGTACATATTTTGTTAGATTTCCACCTACGTATTTCATTTGGGGGGGTTGCTAATTAAACGGTATTATAACATTTTTAGAACTGCTAAGATTAAATGAACTAATATCTGGAGTGTTCTAGCACAGACAGCCTGAAGCTGAGACACTGCATTACTTATGGACTCTGCACTTCGTCCTATAAGGCTCTGAGGCAGCCAGAGACTCTGCTGAGTTGGTGGTGAAGTTGTTCAGAATCGTGGCCAGCTGACCAACTACAAGAAAAGTAAAGGCTCTCCACATCCTGGGAGGCCCCCTAGGAAGGCCACAGGACAGTGGAAGGGCTTACCCTTCCAAGCTCTTCCAACCTTGGGGGAAGAGGTGTTCACCATCTTTCACAGGGCCAGAAACCCAGACAGAGGATCTCCAGGGAAGATGCAAGTCTAAGTTCAATTCAATTCAATTCACAAAACATTTATTAAGCACCTCCTAGATACCAGGCACTATTTAAGCCCCAGAGATACATCAGAGAACAAAACTGACAAGGACCCAGGACTTAGGCAGCTCACCTTCCAGTGCAAATTTATGAAAAGCAAAGCAGCTTTTCATAACAACACAGATCCCTAGGGAGGACTGACGGGCAGTCAGGAGCATGCCAGTGGAAAACCCTCTGCAACCAAGAGGAGCAGAGCGTGCGCAGGAAGGCCCCCAAGGCTCTTGTACCAGGAGTCATACGGAAAGGCACTGGTGATGCTGGGGGGGCCAGGGATGGTAGAGGTGATGACAAGCAGGACATGAGGCTTCCCCGGAGGGAAAAGAAGCCTGAGGTTGGAGAGGGCAACTCTTGGGTGAAAACTCTCAACCCTTTTCTAAACCATAACTTTGTCAGAAGCTTCCTTGTCTCCAAGAGGTTGAGAGGAGAAATCCAGGGACTGTGAACTCTGGGTTGGCAGATTTCAGTTTAGAAATCTCTGAATCTGAATGGGGTCAGAAGCAACTGGGAGAGGTGAAAGGAGCATATAGATTGAGGGGCCGTCTGCCCTTCTTTCAGCTGCCATTCTGGGCTGCGCCCCTTTTATTCTGGGAGTGACCTGGTGGGCCGGATGTAACGCACACATGAAGGTCTCACGCTGACCACACAGCCACTTGTTCATGAACAGTCATTGCTCTTGGGTAGGACTGGTGGGTGAGGGTCCAGGGCAGTACGTCTAAGCTTCTGAACTGGTTTCATCTTTTCTGCTTGTCAAGTTGTTACTTGCAGACTGTTTCTCTGCAAGTATCTCAAAGGTGCCAGATCCTTTTGTGCAGATAATCCATGTTGACTTTGGGGTTTTCATTTGAAAAGGCATTTCCCGCAGAAACCAAGAGTTGAGTCACATGCTTCACTACACAAATCCACCCTGAAATGGACACTTACGGTGTGAGGAAGAGTCCAAATTTTTGAAGTGTGTTTCTCCTAGTTGTGACTGCAGAGTTTTATATCCCATCGTACAAAATGCTTCTTACACGTTTCGTGCGTCATCATGTTGGTCATGGTCAGCATCCTGGGACAGGGAAGAACTGTAGCAGAAGTCACGCATCTCCTGGAAGAGGCCCTCATGCAGGGAATGAATCATTTGTGGGGAGAAAAGACACCCGATTTTCATGCACTCGAGTGACACAAAAGTGTGAGAACAGCTCCAAGGGTAGGTTGGAGCATACTCGTCAGAAGAGAGGGTCCATGTGGGGACTGGAAAAGAGGTTTTGGCCACAAGTGCAATATAAACCAGTAACATAAACCAATATTAAGTAGTTGGTGCGGGAGATGGATGATGCCGTACGCTCCCTTGAGCTCAATCCCAGATCCGTGGTTGCCCCACTTGCTCAGCGTGACAGCCAAAGTACAAATAGGATAAACTTAGTAGCACACAGCACCAAGCTGGAACCCGGGTCTCAGCACCCCGGCCCCGTAGTCAGGTGTCCCACCTTCCTGGAGGGCCATGCCTCCTTTCCTGAAGGTGTATACAAACTGAGAGGTCACCAGGGTCTTTGAGGGCCCAGGGCAGAGTGCGCACACACTCACAATGACCTCCTAGACTCTGTGTGACCCCCGCGTCTCTTCCTCCTCACCTTTATCCCCGGTGTGATCTGTTTACTTGCACCTTACCCAGAATACAAGATCCCTGAGAAATAAAAACAAGCAAACCAACACCCAAACTCAATCCCTTTGCTGCTGGTTTTCACTTTTTATGAAACAATTTTTGCTGGCTGCAGTGGCTAAAACTCTCAAGACGAAGAGCATGGAGATTGGATCAGATGGACTCTGATCCCCTGGTTCTGTCTCTCAGCAGCTGGGTGTGAGCTAATGAGGGGGGAGGAGGGCCCACAACACCCACGTCAGAGGTGAGAAGATACAGACAAGGTACCAGAACACTGCGGGATGTAAAAAAAAAAAAAAAAAAGCACCCTATCCACAGTCACTATTATTATTTCAATGGGTTATTTGGTCTCTCACTGTCATAAGCAATCACGAGAAAAACTAGCTGAATTTCAGCTCTGATTTAGAAAAAAGTTAAGTAAGGGCCTATCACAGACACTGTATGATACCTGTCCTCGGATATTCCAATGAGAAAAGATCTTTCATTCTTTTTCTCTATTTTCTTTCTTTCTTTCTTTCTTTCTTTCTTTCTTTCTTTCTTTCTTTCTTTCTTTCTTTCTTTCTTCTTTCTTTCTTTCTTTCTTTCTTCTTTCTTTCTTTCTTTCTTTCTTTCTTTCTTTCTTTCTTTCTCCCTTTCTTTTTCTCTTTCTTTCTCTTTCTTTTCTTTTCTTTCTTTCTTTTTTTTTTTTTTTTTTTTTTGAGAGAGAGAGTGCATGAGCAGGGGAAGAAGGGGCAGGGAGTCAGAGAGAGAGGGGGAGAGAACCCTAAGCAGGCTCCCCTCACAGACTGGATGACCCAGGGCCCTGCCTCACCGCCAGGAGATCATGACCTGAGCATAAATCAAGAACCGGATGCTTAGCTGACCGCTTAGCTGGCCGAGCCGCCTAGGCTCCCCGAGAAAGGCTGTTTCTTAAAGGCGAGTCCCTTGGGAAAGAAAACAAAACAAACCATCTCAACCACACGCGCATTAACTGTCCCCAAATGCTAAATGCAAGGAAACAGACTATTCGTGAAACTCAGTGATTTCCAAGTTGGACCAGCTGCCGCAAGGAGGCGGCCCGAGCTGTGCAGGGCTGCCCTGGCCGGACCCCACTGGCACCCGCAGCACCCCGCTCCCTCCCGCACCTCCTGACGACCCACCGCCCTGCCTGGGGCGGGTCGGGGTCATTCCCAGCACTTCCTTTTGGGGGTCCTCGGAGCAGCGCAGGCCCTTGTGCTGAAAGGAGTGAAGGGAAGTCCCTGCCCTCCGGGCGCCCCACCACCCGCCCAACAGGACGCCCCCGCCCGACACGGGGGCCCGCCCGACACGGCCCAACACGACCCCCCAACACGACCCCCGCCCCCCCCCCCCGGCCCCGATGACGTCACCCCCGCCCCCGCCCGCCGGGACGGAGCATCCAGTCCCCACGGCGGTGCCCCGCTGTCAGGGGGAAGCCGAGGTGGCCGGGCCTGACCCCCCCCCCCCCCGCTCCCCCCGGCCGGGCGCGTCCCTGGCTGCCCGGTGGGGTCGGGCACGTGGGGGCAGCCCGGGGCCCGGGTCGCGGCCAGCGCCCCCCGGCGGCTGAGAAGAGGCCGGCCCGGGTCGCCCGTCCCTCGCGCCACGTCCCCGACGTGAGGTGCGGGTCCCCGCGACAACGGGCGGGTCCCCCCTTCCCGGGTCCCCCCATCCCGGGTTCCCCCATCCCCGGTCACCCGCCCCGGCCCGGCCCGGCCCCCTCACCCAGCCGCCGCCGCTCCTCTCCGCCCGCGGGGGTCCGTGCGCGCCGTCCGGCCCGCGCCATCCCGCCCACTGCGCACGCGCCCACCCCGCCCGCCGCTGGGGGCGCCCTCTCCGACCCCCGCCCCCACCCGGGGACCCCACCGCCGCGCTCCTGCCCCGCCCAGGCACCCCTCCCACCGTGCCCCGGGGACCCCACCATCTCCCCGCCCCTCCCACCGTGCCCCGGGGACCCCACCATCTCCCCGCCCCTCCCACCGTGCCCCGGGGACCCCACCATCCCCCCGCCCCTCTGCACCCCGTGCCCCGGGGACCCCACCATCTCCCCGCCCCTCCCACCGTGCCCCGGGGACCCCACCATCTCCCCGCCCCTCCCACCGTGCCCCGGGGACCCCACCATCTCCCCGCCCCTCTGCACCCCGTGCCCCGGGGACCCCACCATCTCCCCGCCCCTCTACACCCCGTGTCCCGGGGACCCCACCATCTCCCCGCCCCTCTGCACCCCGTGCCCCGGGGACCCCACCATCCCCCCGCCCCTCTGCACCCGGTGCCCCAGGGACCCCACCATCTCCCCGCCCCTCTGCACCCCGTGCCCCGGGGACCCCACCATCCCCCCGCCCCTCTGCACCCCGTGCCCCGGGGACCCCACCATCCCCCCGCCCCTCTGCACCCCGTGCCCCGGGGACCCCACCATCTCCCCGCCCCTCTACACCCCGTGCCCCGGGGACCCCACCATCTCCCCGCCCCTCTACACCCCGTGTCCCGGGGACCCCACCATCTCCCCGCCCCTCTGCACCCCGTGTCCCGGGGACCCCACCATCTCCCCGCCCCTCTACACCCCGTGCCCCGGGGACCCCACCATCTCCCCGCCCCTCTACACCCCGTGTCCCGGGGACCCCACCATCTCCCCGCCCCTCTGCACCCCGTGCCCCGGGGACCCCACCATCTCCCCGCCCAGGCACCCCTCCCACCGTGCCCCGGGGACCCCACCATCTCCCCGCCCCTCTGCACCCCGTGCCCCGGGGACCCCACCATCCCCCCGCCCCTCTGCACCCCGTGCCCCGGGGACCCCACCATCCCCCCGCCCCTCTGCACCCCGTGCCCCGGGGACCCCACCATCTCCCCGCCCCTCTACACCCCGTGCCCCGGGGACCCCACCATCTCCCCGCCCCTCTACACCCCGTGTCCCGGGGACCCCACCATCTCCCCGCCCCTCTGCACCCCGTGTCCCGGGGACCCCACCATCTCCCCGCCCCTCTACACCCCGTGCCCCGGGGACCCCACCATCTCCCCGCCCCTCTACACCCCGTGTCCCGGGGACCCCACCATCTCCCCGCCCCTCTGCACCCCGTGCCCCGGGGACCCCACCATCTCCCCGCCCCTCTACACCCCGTGCCCCGGGGACCCCACCATCCCCCCGCCCCTCTGCACCCCGTGCCCCGGGGACCCCACCATCTCCCCGCCCCTCTGCCCCGAGTCCCGGGGCCCCATCACCACCTCCCGGGCTAGGTGGACCGGGGGAGGCACCGGGAGACCTCAGCCGCCTTCCCGTGGAGGCCCTGCCACGGGGCACCCCGCAAACTGCCTTAGGCTTTCCGGAGGCGGGTGCTGACACTGCCCAGCTCGCCGCCCCTGCAGGAGGCCCCACAGGGCAGTACTGAGGCGGACAGGGGCTTGCAGGAAAGGACAGGCCTTAGGGGAGGGCCCCTGTGGGTCAGGTGTCAACTCTCCTGCCCAGGCTCCAGCTCTCCCCTGGCCCACACCTGCTCCCGCTCCTGCAAGCCAGCGTTTGGCTTCCTCTCTGCTCCCCTCGGCCCCTTGTAATCGTGATTCATTTTTTGAAAGTATGAGGACCCCCCAGGGAGGCCTTTAGAACGAATCCCCATATTGAAATATTCCTGTGGAAATGCTGAGTCCGTTCTCCTGCCCTGGCCCGCAGGACTTCTGAAGAGTTGGCGTGAAGCGGGTTAATGAACGAAGCGGGTTAATGACTTCTTTGCCTGCAGACGCACCTGCGGTCCTGCGGGGCCCTGGTAGGCGGGGCCTGTGTTTTCTCTGTCCCTCGGCCACAGCCCTGGGGTGGGGGTGGGGGGACCCAGCAAGCGCTCAGCCCTGGCCTGTGCGCTGAATGAGGGCCTGTTAAAATGAGGAACTGGTGAAAAGTCCAGGCTTCACATCACTCAGCTCCCTCAGAGCATTTTCTCCCCCAAAAAGGTTGTATCAGCCAGCTCAGGCTGTAACAAAATACAAAATGCCACAGACTGGGTGGCGTAAACAGTCCCAGTTCATCTTCTTCACAGTCCTAGAGGCTTAGAGGTCCAAGATCAAAGCGCCTGCAGATTAGGTGCTTGGGGAGGTCTCTCTCTCCCAGGTTTGCAGGCAGCTGCCCTTGCTGTGGGCTCACTCGACCTTTCTGTGTGTGTGTGTGTGTGTGTGTGTGTGTGTGTGTGTGTGTGTGAGGGAGAGAGATAACACTCTGCTCTGTCTTCCTCTTCCCAGAAGGGCCCCAACCCTCATGACCTCAGGTACACCTAGTTATCTCCCAAAGGCCCCACCTCCAGATGCCCTCGCCCTGGGGTTAGGCCTCCAACAGGGCTGTTGAGAAGACACAAGCCTTCAGCCCACGACATCCATACCCAGGGCCACGCAAGCTTCCAGGAGGGAGTTGGGGGAGTCCGCTCTCCGAACCCTTTAGGTTTCAGATGAAGGAAGACATTGAGAGGCGCATCATGGGACTTGTCAGAGGTGATGTTGTCACACCCACGTGTCAGGTATAAATCTTCTCTCTGCGAAGGCCTGACTTTCAAGGGCCCCACCTTGGGTTCAGCTGAGAGATACACTAAGCTAGTATTTTTGGAACATTTGTTGCGGGAAGCTTTTGGCTCCTACCAGGAAATTGCAATTTGAGTTCAGGCCACAGGGATCAAGAAGAGGGTTGATGTCACACCTTCAATCACGCTAGCTAGTCATGAGTGTTGACGCATAAGGTGTGTTTGATCAGCATGGGGTGTGGCTGGAGGAAAGCAGTTTTGTGGGAGAAACAAGACCATTCATTTGTTCTTGACTCATCACACAGAACAAAAGTCAGAATGGCTGATGAATGCAAAGCAAAGACTCCCATGGTCACGTTGCCTCGTAGCCATCCCGGCAAGGAATCTGACATTGGAAACCTCCTTTTAGACATGAGTTAAATCCACACACACACCTGTTTTAGAGGTTACAGGAGAATTTTCAAAATCCATTAAATAAAAATCTCTGCCACCTTTTTTTTTTAAAGAATTTATTTATTTATTTATTTATTTATTTATTTATGCCTGAGAAACACACAGAGAGAGGCAGAGACACAGGCAGAGGGAGAAGCAGGCTCCCTGCCGGGAGCCCGATGTGGGACTCGATCCCAGGACCCCCGGGGTCACGGCCTGAGCTGAAGGCAGACGCTCCACCACTGAGCCACCCAGTTGTCGCATCTGCTTTCTTTCTAAAGGGAAAAACAAAAGTAGTTTTCACTTTTTCACTGACTCATGATCTTTTGGTCACTGCTAGCCTCTCTGTCCAGTGTCTTAACGAGGCGGTGAGTGGATGATTAAATATTTCACTATTGATGCGCCTGTTACTTCGATGACTTCATTTTATAACCACAACGGTGCAACAGAGTAGAGCTGCTCCCATGTCACAGATGGGGCCGCCGAGGATCTGAGAAGTGCAGTGGGCTGCTCCATGTCCCACAGCTGGTGGGACTCGGCCTATCGTTTGTGCATCTGTCACACAGCATTATAATGACGTGGTCCCCTCAGCTCGCCACCCACCAGTCCAGGTCCGTGAGTGGCCCGTGGGCAAGAACTCTCCCAGACTTGTGTATCCGGCTGCTAAAACGATCCTTGGTGCATTGCAATTCTTAATGCACTTGAATGAATGAAAGCATGAATGAGTGAACAAATGAATTCTATGGAAAATGGGCTAGAGCAGAGACGTCACATGATTCGAATGCATAAATTCTAGGTCCCAATCCTGGCTCCGCTTTTTCTCTAGCCAGCCCTTCATTTTGTCACCTGCGCAATCACAGGACGGTTACCGTTATTAACCATTCACCGCCACCCCACCTCCCCAGTTTTCACAAAAATGAAGTGAAAGCCTCTTGTGGGGGGGAAGCCAACGCAGACAAGTGAAATGCTGACCGGTCCAAGGGGGAGGGAGCAGCAGAGCGCCGTCGGCTCCCCCAACCCCAGGCGGAAGCTGAACCCCCAAATGCGCACATGGAGGCCTGGGATTTTCCCAGGTCCTGGCGGAGCAGAGCACAAAAAGCGGGCTGTCTGCAGGCTGCTCCGCACCCTGGCAGCTGCTGTGGGTTAAAGCGTATGCCGTGCAACTGCAGGGGGTGCGAAATGTTCCCTAATACCAACCCTCTCCCCAGCCTGCGACTTACACCAACATAGTGCTGGGGGGAGGCCTGCTTCTCAGCTGGGGCTGCACGATGAACCCCAAGCACATCTGGAAAGTACAGAACCAAGGTCTCACCCCCGAGGTGCCCAAGTCATTGCCCGGGAGAGACTCCAGGAAGTGGTTTTTAATTTTTTTTTTTTTTATGATAGCCACAGAGAGAGAGAGAGAGAGAGAGAGAGAGAGAGAGAGGCAGAGACACAGGCAGAGGGAGAAGCAGGCTCCATGCACCGGGAGCCCGACGTGGGACTTGATCCCGGGTCTCCAGGATCGCGCCCTGGGCCAAAGGCAGGCGCCAAACCACTGTGCCACCCAGGGATCCCCGGAAGTGAGGTTTTTAAAAGAACATGTAGGTAACTCTGCTGTATGAGCAAAATTAGATCTTACTGAGTTGGTATGTAGGGTTTTCCTTTCCTTTTTTTTTTTTTTTTTTTGTAGGGTTTTTCAATCCGGGCATTATTGATGTTTGGGGCCAGATAATCCTCTGCCGTGGGGCTGTCCTGGACAGGGTGGGACAGTTAGCAGCATCGCTGATCTCCATCTACTGGCAGGCCAGTGGCAACACCCCCATTGTGACCACCACCGATGTCTCCTGGGAGGCAAAACAGCCCCCCAACTTCAGTGGTTGAGAGCCACTGAATTTGACAATGAGGATGGGAGGAGAGATGAGAGATGGCATTTGATACTCTGGGTCATCCCAGGTCCTGCACCACCTGGGAGCTCATCAGACTTGCAGACCCCTCACCCCACCTGAAGTGGGATGCTGTTTTTCACAAGATCGCTGTGTCAATGTTTCAGAATATGGCCAGGGCACCGGTGTGGTGTCCCCTGGAAGCAGTTTTATTGAAATAGCAATTCACCATCTGCATCCAGAGAACATGAGATCAGAGCCAGAGGTCAGTGTGGAAGGGGTGTGATGGTGGGCGGTGTCAGAACCTCCCAGACAAGGACCCAAGGTGGCTGGGTTCCTTGCAGCAGAGCTCCACCAGGTGAGAGAGACAGTGGGAGGCCAGATGAGAGGGTGTACCTAGGGTGTACCTAAGGTGGGCCTTCCTGGATGGGAGGGCCGTGGGTGGGGACAGCCAAGGGAGAGGAGCCTTAATGACCGTCACAATCAGTGAACTGGGTGAGCAAGCCTGTTGCTATCACAGACTACCTGTTCCTCCCACATCTCCCTCCCAGACACCTTGCAAATGACAGGCAGGTGAGGCCACTTCTTCCAGGTGTGTGAAGGGGCTGCCCCCTGGTGGGTCAGGGAGCATGGGAGGGGCTGACTCTGCCTAGCCAGGGCCATCAGGGCACAGGGTGGCAGCAAGAGCCACGGCAGAGCTGCTGGGGAGCAGGGGGCAGACCTGCAGCCGGCCCCCCACTCTATCCCCATACATCCCCGCAGGTGAGAGCTGGCAGGAGCAGAGATGTCAAGGTTAGCTTTGAAAGGCAGGGGGAGCCACAGAAGGGCAGCCTGTGGGGATTTGCACAAACAGGATGGTGGCCCCGTGATGTCAATCCAATATCCAACTGGCACCCTTCCCGCCCCCATGTCATGTGGTAGCTCAGGTTTATGAGACTTGGCTTTTTTGTTCACCTCTGTCCCAGCATGTAGCTTGCTGCCCCACGGATGGCAGTTCCTTGGGAGATATCCTTCCGCTGAATATATGGATGGATGGATGGATGGATGGATGGATGGATGGATGGACGGATGGATAGCCCTCTGACCCTCTCCCCTCCCCTGACCCTCTCCCATCCCCCACAGCGCTGAGCACTACCTGGTGGTGTTTTAGGCACTTCATTGTGAACTTGCTTATTACCTGGAGTGTAACCCTTGCCCACCACCGCAAGCCCCATGAGGATAAGGTCTTTGACCCATTCACAGCTGAGTCACCAGGGCCTCGGACAGGACCGGGATCAGAGCCCCCACTTCCTAAATATTTGTTTAAGGACTGAATAAATGAATAAGCAAATAAGGTAGAGATGCAGCAGGTTTATTTTCATAACTGCAAGAGTGACCTCTTCCTTCTTCCTCTTCCTCTGATGACTTGATTCATTTTATATTTACCTGCTTCTGGAAAAATTATTTGGAAGTTCCCCAGCAAAGGACCAAGAGGGGTGTCTTCATTTTCCTCATGCCACAATGCCAGGGGGAAGTTTTGTCTCTTGGATACACTCTCTTCTCTTTCACAGACATTAGAAACTGCTTGTATTAACATTTCCTACTTCTTCTACAAGTTTTGCTTAGCGAATGCTTTAATTCATCCATCCATCGATCCCTCCATCTGTCTGTCCGTCCGTCCATCCATCCATCCATCCATTCAGTGAAAGGATATCTCCATCTGTCCATCCATCCATCCATCCATCCATCCATCCATCTATTCAGTGAAAGGATATCTCCCAAGGAACTGCCATCCATGGGGCAGCAGGCTACGTGCCAGGACAGAGGTGAGCAAAAAAGCCAAGTCTTATAAACCTGAGCTGCCATGTGACTTGGGTGTTGTATCCCCATTTTATAGGGAGGCGTTGTCAGAGGGGCCTTGTCCTCTTCCACTCAAACAGCTGCTCCGTGGAAGCCTAGAAGAGCTGGCCTGAGGCCTGGCATGGGGGCTAGTTTTAAAGGTGAGGGAAATGAAGGCCTTATTGACAGCTGAGGCATGGCTGACCATGTCAGGAATTGTGAGACAGGCTGCCCCGCCCATGGCAGGTAGCCCAGGCTTGTGGCTTCGGCCTTCTGGAGGGTTAGGTGAGTTCAAAAGCTGCTCCCTGCTAGGCCCACAGATGGGTGCGTGGGTGAGCATGGGGGCATGGAAGGGGCTGGAGGAGTAAGTGGATTCATGGGGAGGGTCACAGCAGCTCTCCAAGAGTGAAACTGAGGTGTTTTTGCCAAGTGCGTGGTACTGGAATGGATCCTAACACACACCCCTCATACACTGAAGCTTTATACTGTCTGGGAATCCAAAACGTTTTAATGGGCTTGTAAAAACCATAGAGAAATACACACAAGCATGCATTCACTGATCTGGAACAGAGTCCTTATCTTCCCCAAGCCTGGTGTGATCGTAGGCTCCCATGGCCTGTTTCCCACTAGGTAACAGTCAGGCTAGGACACCGGCCAAGCTAACCAACATCCTCAGGGGGACAGCGTTTGGTCTTCACCCTGTCTCAGGTCCTGCTGAGACGGCCTTCCACCCAAGGGTGCAGCCTGGTTGGGGTCTGAGGGTGAGAGGCAGTAGTGTGTTTCCTGAAGGTGCCGTTGGGGGTGAGGATGCAACCCTGACCTTGCTACTTACGGAGTGAGACCCATGGAGCAGCCCTGGATCACTGTGAGCTTGTTGGAAAGGCCTCGCCCCCCCCCAACCCTCCAAGAATCTAAATGTGCATTTTAACAAGGTTCTAGTGTGATTCATGTTACCTTAAACTTGGAGAAGCCCTGACCCAGACAATTCTGTGCAAAGAATATCTACAGTCTTGGGGGTAAGAGAGTCTGGGGCATTATGGAAATGTGCATGGGGCAGGTGAGTGAGTGCCGACAGGCTTGAAAATGACTGCTCTGAGGATGCCCAGGTGGCTCAGCGGTTGAGACTGCCTTCGGCTCAGGGCGTGACCCCAGGGTCCTGGGATCGAGTCCTGCATCAGGCTTACCACAGGGAACCTGTTTCTCCCTCTACCTGTGTCTCTGCGTCTCTCATGAATAAATAAATAAAATCTTAAAACAAACAAACGAAAAAACAAGAAAACGACTGCTCTGATTCCATTTCTTGTCCTAAGGGGCCAGCAGCCCAGGACTGGAATGTCCTGGCTCCCTCACCCAGCTGGGACTTTTACCCTCTTTCTCCTCTGCTGCAGTCTGCTTACGTCTCTAGCGCATGGAGTGCAGTCAATAAACAAGATACTGACTCACAGACGCTCTGCAGAGAGCTCTGCTCTTTCAGTGGCTGGCCTGCGGGGCCGTGGATGTGAACTCCTTGCACGTTTCTTCCTCACATATGCAGAGTTCAGCCGACCCATGAAAGCAGCAGGGCTCTTCCAGCAGAACAAGTAAAAAACGGACCCAGGAAATGAAGCAACTGTTTGCAAAATACATGAGACACAGAAGAAAAATAATTAATCTTACAAACAGGCAGATGGCTCTAAAACTAGCCAGGGTTTAAAAAATAATATTAATGTAAGTCAGGGGACCTGTCTCATCCCGCTGCTGAGAGGAGTATGAATTCGGAAATCCTCATGGAAAAGTATCCAAACGCTGATGGAGCGGACAGGCCCTGTTTCCTAGAACACAGGGACGCTGTCTGGGCCAACTATGTCACGAAGCTGTCAGAGGGCTCCAAGGTGCATTTCCTGACCCTAACACTACTCAAACGATCAAAACAGAAATTGGGTATTTTAATGGTTGCCACGCAGGAACCTGGGGTTTCTATTCCACACTTACGAGGCTAGGACAAGTCACCGTTGCCTAGCACGGATTAGAACTGCTTCTGTCTGCAACTGGGTGCTCCCTGCTTCATGTACTCCAGCCGCGTCTATCAAGCACCTGCTGTATTCTCGGCGGGGCAGATCCAGCCAGCCCATAGCAGCCGGTCCAGCCAGCATTGGTCCTGGTTGTCTGGAGTCTGTTATTACATAATCTGATGGTCATTCTTGACTCCAGGTATGGTGCCAGCTTGCAGGGTACCTAGAGACTGGAGCGTGACTGGTGTGTCATGGGAGAGGTAGATTTGGATCAGACTAAGGCTGGCCTTGAGTGCTTGAATTTGGATTTTCTTCCTGTAGCTACAGCAGGCCAGGGGAAGTGTTTAGGCTGGGACTGATTCAACCCAGAGAGAAGGTGGTTTCAAGGTGGGAGAGGCAGACAGCCAGGAGATGAATAAGGAAGCCAACTCAAGAGCCTAGAAGACAGATCATGAGAACAACTCTAGTGAAGGGGGCAACATGAGGTCCCTAGAAGATAGAACTAAAATGATTGATGACCCACTGAGGATGGGGAACCAGGGAGTGGGAAGAGGTGAGAATGACTTGGTTTCCCGCCCAGGGTGTGGATGCGTGGCGCTGCCATCCACCAAGACAGAGAAGGAAGTAAGAGCAGGATCAAGGGAGAGGCACAGCAAGAAAATAATGGGCAAGGTTTCCAAATTTGTTTTTTAATGGTATCTTCAGGCTATAAAAATATATTTAGGAAATACATAATTTGCAAAAGAACAGTTTAAATCACCTAGAATTCTTTCACAGATAACTTCAACTTTTTAGTGCATTTCTTTCGAGTGTTTGGGGTGTGTGTATTTAAAATGGTGATCTTACTACATAGACAATTCGTATCCTTTTTCTCTTAATCACTTTCTGACCTTAAAATTATTTTTAAAAATATATATATTTATTTATTTTTAGAGAGGGTGCATGCGAGTAGAGGAGGGGCAGAGGGAGGGAGTCTCAAGCAGACTCCATGCCCAGCACGGTGCCTGACTCAGGGCTCGATTCCAGGACCCTGAGATCACGACCTTAGTGGAAATCAAGAGACAGATAGTTCACTGACTGATCCATCCAGGAGCCCCTAAAACAGGTTTTTAAAAGTTACCTTGTATTCCACCCTATAGATATGTGGCAGTTAGTTTATTCCTTTACTTCTAGACACTTGGACCATCTCCACTTTTTTCCACCTTGAAAAACACAATGTATATGTTTGTAGTAAGTCTCTATCCAAGTTTCAATAAAAGAGTTTAAAAATATTTAAATAACCAAACTACAGGGACACATGGGTGGCTCAGTCAATTAAGCATCTGCCTTGGCTCAGGTCATGATCCCAGAGTTCCAGAATGGAGCTCCACATAGGCTCCCTGCTTGGCAGGGAGTCTGCTTCTCCTTCCCCCTTCTGCTCCTCCTGCCTGTGCGCTCTCTCTCTCTCTCACTCTGCCAAATAAAATCTTTAGAGAGAAAAAAAAAAAACAAATATAACCAAACTACAATATTTCTGTAGCAAAAAAAGAAAAACAAAAGCAACAAAAAAAAACCCAAAACCCAAAAACCTTGAAATTATATAAACATATACACAATAAAAGCTGAAGGCAGACTCCCAGTATGAGTGGGGCATGTATTCCTGTCCTAGAATCACGGAAGTGAAATAAGAAAAGTGAAAAAAACAAACAAAACAAAACAAAACAAAACAAAACAAACAAAATGAACCACAAAGCTCTGAACTCCACATTTTTAGGGAAACTAGGAGGGAGAGATAAGCCGCAGACTTCAAAGAATGCACAGGAGCTGCCAAAAGCAGCTGAGTGAGGGCAGAGGTCCTGGGAAGAAATGCAGGGATGAAGGACAGCTCAAGGTCCTTGGTTCCAGCACCATCCAGCCTTAGAAGGCACCAGAAGGAAGTCCGTGTCCACTGATGAGGCACTCACCCTGAAGTGTAAAAGTCCTGTTTCTTCTTTTCCTGGAAAAGAAGAGAAGCGTAAATGAGGCAGGTGGCCTTCCTCAGAGAATCAGAAGAGTTAGCACACATATGCTCCATATTTCCAGAGAACAGTCTGGCTCTCTGGCATCAGAGAAAGAGGAAATATCAGAATCACGAAAGCCAGGGGGTTATGTGAAATCTGTGTGATCTTTCCCTTGGAACGTCCTGCAGGTGGCTGGTCCCCAGCTTCCTGGTGAGTGAATGAGTGGCTTAAAAAAGAAATCAAGCAGAACTGATGAGCAGATGTTATAAGAAATAACATGTGGAATAGCGTGGCCGAGCTTACCATCTAATGAAGAACACTCTCCAGAAAAAGGAATTCAGAGAGCAGATGCACAAACTGGA